GGTGGGGGGCGGCCCGAGGGGCTGGGAGAGGGTCCGGCCCACGCTGCACCTGGGCTGGGACTCTAAGCATGGTGCTTTAGACCACTGAGCTATCTCTCCAGCCCCAGCTTTGAGTTCTTAATTACTTTTTAGTACTGATGTAGATATGAATCATTTTCTCAGTTGGATTTTCATTTCTTTGCTTTCACTTTATAAACTGATCAGTTACTGTTGGGAACCACAAATTCACACTGCTAATTTTGCATACTTCTTTAAGGGATAAATGGACTTCTTTAATTTAGTCTTATCTGCAACAATTCAAGTCTGTGTTCTGTTAGTGGCAAGTACAGTATTCTTGTCCTCAATGGATATTACATATCCCCTTTTCATTCTTCCTGATGTAATATAACTTCGATCACGTCAAATGAAATTCATGAGAGGGCAATTAAGTATCTGCAGTCAAATTACAGTTAAAAATAACTCAGTAATATTTACTGAGATTAATTGAGATGAAATCAACAAATTTCTAAGCTATGACTTTCCCAGTTCTCTGATTCTATGAGTCCTTATTGTGTGTGTCTTAACTGTGTACCACTCTAAGGTGAAATCAGTATAGAGGTTGATAGTGCTTTCATTGTAAATATGAAAACAGCTCTTCATAAAATCAGTATCATCATAGGTATTTTAGCCTTATTATGTATTTATTTTGAAACAGATTAATTTCAGAGAAGTTTTAAGTCTGGAAGTAATGTGAAGAAAATGGCAAGACTAGAGATGTAGATTGGGGTACAGTACCTGCTTCTCATGAGCAAGGGCCAACATTCAAGCCCCAGAACCACAAAGGAAAGAAAAATTATGACAGTGTGGAAAGAGTCTTATCAGTAACAATCCTGAGATTTCAATGTATAGCGTGTAGAGCATTTTCATAAAATTTAAAGACTCAGAAAATGTTTTATTAAATAAGGACCAGGGTAATAAACATTATTCAGTAGTTTCATAATAAATACATTTAATAATTCATTCTCACCTCCTTTAAAAAGTTTTTCATTTTCATCTACACAATTTATTATTTCTGGCATTAAATTTAATGATTCCTTTAGTTCTTGTTTGAGGTTTGTAGGTTTTAAGGATTCAAACTCAGAAGGAAAAGTTGATGGCTGAAATAATATATCAGTTTTTAGAAAAGATTTTAGGGAGATATTCCAGGTAAATATTAAAAAATTCATAAATGGATAAATTTGCTTAAATGATATGATAAATTTTAAATCAAACCCACACTCAAGGTTTTAAACATTTATACATGTGGTTTTTTTAAGTAGAAGGGTAGCAGCCAAAAATAAGTCCTAATTACAAGTAATATGCTCTCTGAGTAGTAACTTTTATGCTTGTATCAGTGATATACCATAACCCTACATGCAAAAGTATCTAACTGTCAGCTAGTAGCAAAATTTTAAGATTCTAAATTAAAAATAATTACTTCAATAAATAAGAGACAGTGAATGGGAGAAGCAAAAAATATGATGGAATAAAATGAATCTTTCCTGCACTCCATGCAATTTTTCCCTTTTATGTCCACAAAACTAGATTCCTCACAGTGATTGTATGCACAACTAGATGAAGAGGAAAGCAGGGCCAAGGGGAAAACGACTAAGACATAAGTTAATATTTTTTCCATCATATTAAATTTTTAGCTGCAAGGAAACCCTTTAAGTACCTTAATTGCACTGTAGGTATTGCATTTGACTGTATTAAGCAATATCCTAATTTAAAACACAGTTGCCCTCAAAAAAATTTTAATTAACTCTGTGAATGCATCTAATCTATATGGACTTAGATTTTTCAGCTGGCTAACCTGCAAAAAGTCAGTTGTAGTCTCAACTGCTAGAATTCTTTATATAGTAATATAACAATAATTTTGTGAGCTATTGGAATTGTATGCTAAAATTTGAGAGTATTGGTTTTCAATGTGCAAAAATGCTGCCTTCCTTATATTAGACAATCTATATGCTTACTCTCTCGGTGAGATCACTTTTCTAATAGCTCAAATACCATCCATTTTGTGCATAACTCACAAACCAACATTTCTAACTATAGTCCACAATTTTTAAATTAGACATGACTATGTAATATCTTATATAGGTAACTGATTAAAATCACTGGGAGCAGTTTTAAAATTTTATATAGGTAGGTTGTACACCAGACCCATTAAATCACAGTATATTTGGGTAGAACCCATAGTTCAATTTTTTTTTACAAAAAAGTCTCAGGTAATTCCAATGTACAGCTAAGGCTGTGAACCACTACTTAGAAGTCTGTTTGACCCCTTAATTGATATGCATTCAACCCATTATTAAATCTTCTAAATATGATATCATTTAAACGCATATTACTGAAATTTATAAAAGCGTGCTTCCTTACTTTTATAAAGACATTATTGAAAGCAAGTGTTACAACCTCACTCAAACCTGCTGAATCTTCTTGTTTCTCCTGATAAACATTCTCTTTATCCACATAAAAATCTTCTTTCATAGAAATTTCTAAATCTTCTTGAAAAGAGAAATGTTTCCTTAAAAAACAAACAATATTTATTAAAAGAAAATTATAAAATAAGTGTAGCCAATAAAAACATTAAAATAGAAGTTGAGGTAAAGCAAAGGTAAAATATAACTGATAATGTCTAAATGTGTTCAAAGAAGGAATATTTCCTCCTATAAAGGTATTTATAGCACTGGATAATTAAATACCTGGAAAAATTAGCTTCTTTGAAATCTGAAAGGGGGTCCTTTATCAAAAATGGTTTCAATTTGCTCACTGGAGTATTGAAAGTTGGTGGGTAACCTTTATGGGTCATCAAATTGTTTGTTATAGTTTCTTCTTCATCTTTAATATATAAATCTAAAAAGAAATTTAAAAATCTAAAAGTTATACAAAAGGATATAGCTACTATAAGTAGTCATCAGATATAACTGAGTTTTATGAAACATTTTAAAACCTTTAGTTCTTCATTGTACTGTGCATATAAAGCATGTAACAATACTAGAATATAGAGAAAAGCGCAATAAATTTTAATATTATTTGGTACACTGAGGAGTAGCCAAATGTTCCACAATAGTTGTACTACAATGGGTTATGCTTTATCAATAAAGATTAATTTAATTGACAGAGAAAAATATCATTTGCTTCAAAATATTCACCAAAAGTTAAAGAAATAAAACCTTTTGATTTTGTTCGACTCTAGTCTTTTCTTCCTTAAAGTTTTTCAACTCAAAAATTCCCAATTTAGAAGCTGGGGAGACAGCTTGGCATTCTAAGTGCCTGCCTGACAAACGCAAGGTCCTGAGTTCAATCTCTAGTACTGGATGCTGTGTCCGGAAAATGGGTGTGGTAGCTCACACCTGTAATCTCACAGCTGGAGAGCTGAAACAGGAGGAACACTTTGAGTCCAAAGTGCATAGAGAGACCTTGTATCAAAATAAATAAAATTTAATTTAATAAATTCCCCAAATTTATCCCCATAGAATGACTTGTACGGAAAAGAAATGATCTACAAAGCCTACAAATGAAACCAACTCTGATCATCCAAAAGTTATGTATACATGATTATTATGTATGAATTCTATAAAATTAATTACAATGAAAATTATATAGCAACATTATTTGAGAAGTATTATATATTCAGTAATAAGCAACAGTACTAATTACTTCTGGGATAAATTTTTCTTCTCTATCCCCATTTTGTTATGTCTAGAATATTTAATAACCAGACTAGGTGTCTAATGCTTTGTTACTGGGCCATTGGAAGGGACATAAAGCCTTCCTTCATTCTTCAATAAGCTCCTGAATGAAAAAATAAAAATAAAAATGTATGCTCAGTTAAAGATTTCCTTGGAGAGTAAAACTGCAACATGAAGGGCACCACATGAAGGGGACAAGCAATGGGCTCTTTTTTGTGGACAATGACCTTCAATTAAGTGATGGTAGAATGTAATGAGAGAGGAATTAATACTGAGTTTTGAGGTAATGATGTCTATTATGGCCAACCACATACATGGTATGCAGGTGTCTAATAAATATGTTGTGTAAGGGAAGCAGCCAGTGACATCTCTTTGACAGGAGCTAAATAGGCACTCCAAAAGAGATCCTATAACATAAATCAGCTTTCTAAAAGGCTGTTTATACAAACCCCTTAGGTTATTGATGATCTCACGATCAACAGCTTTTCATAACACACTAAAGAAAGGTAGTCAATCAATTCTATGTTTAGGGACAGCTTATCTGAGAAGTTAAAGATGATGTATTTATATAATTCATTTTGCAAATATCAATAAGGCCATATTAACAGTAAAAGCAGAATGAGTTTATATTTCCATCTTTTCTTTCTTCTCCAAAATGCAGACTTTCCAGCTGTCTTTTGATCTACAGTCATATCCTGATACTTTTAGGAGAATATGGGGACATCTGTTTGTAATCAGGTCTTGTTTCTAAGACCTTTTTTTGATGAAGCCACTTGAGGGCAGCATATCACCACAACCAAAGTTTTAAAAAAATGATACAAAGACTTGTGATAGGTGCTGTATCATATTCTTATGGCTAGATAGCATTCCACAGAGTTTTTACTTTGTAGTAAGTACTACATGTGTTCCACAGATACACAAAGACTGTTTGCATCTATTGTGGAGGAATGATAATTCATCACCAGGAAACAAATTTTTTCCAGTTAGCTATGAAAATAAGCAGGAAAAAAGAGAACCTATTACTAGGGAAGAAAAGATAAGATTTATTTTTTAAATGTATTTAGTACAGAGTCTACAGGGTCTCACTACACAGACCG